GTGTCATCTTCATGAACTGCCAAGATGCTTGTATGGAAGAGATGTAGCACAGGTTTGACATATGACACTGTGACATAGTCCTCCCCTGAAAGGGCATCAGTGAAATCCACAAGGGGTTTCAGAGCCTTGTGCACTGACTCAAGGACTTCCAGGTCTTGCCAAGTCAGGACAAGATGTCGTGTTTTTTTGTCTGTGGCCAAGACCTGAGAAATAGCTCGCTCCTGTTCCAGCACCCGGTCAATCATTTTGTAACGGGATCCCCATCTAGTTGGCGACTCGCTGATCAGCTGATGTACAGAGATCTTAAGTTCTTTCTGCGCAGTAGCCAGACCTCTCCTCTTCTTCCAACTGAATGAAAAACTGCTTACAATCTTTTTACAAACAGCAACAGCACGCTCAATGCGAGGGTCTTTCATGCTTCTCTCTGAAAATAGAGGGGGAAAAAAAAACAATAATTACTATATAATGCTGTAAATAAATAATATCACAAAAAACAGTTGTTTATATGTATGCAATATCAGATTTCACATCAATTCACATTTTATGCTCAGGAAATTAATTAAGCAGATGCATAACAATTACAGAAGGAAAAACATGCTACCCGATGTCTTAGAGGTATGAAAACTAAAGAAATGCTTTTCATTTTTTATGTAAACAAAAATAAATAAATTCAATTTCATTTATTAAATCAAATTTAATTCACTCAAATTTAAATTTAAACCAAAATTTAATTTATTAAATCAAATATCAATTTGATATCTTCAGATATTCAAATCTTCAGATAATAATAATAATAATAATAATAATGTCATCACAATGTCAGCACTGTATGTTTCCATACAATGGCGAAATTAGTCTCAGCATTTAACCCATCCACCACCAGGTGGTGCAGTGGGCAGCTATTGAGGGCGCCCGGGAGGCATTTTGGGGATGAGGCGTGCTGCCCAGAGACGCCACGTGATGTGCAGTGACTGGGGATCGAGCCTGGGACTTTCGGGTCCCAAGCCGGCTGCCCTGCCTCTACACCATCTCGGCCCCCAACAGATCAATTTAATCTAAAGTTCATTTAATGGGGAAATCAAATGAAATCCTACCAACATCTACTGATGCTCAGAGTATATTCTATATAAAAGAAGGTACAGCTGTACAACATACTCACCAATTGCAAGGTGCAGCCGATGGCCAAAACACTGTAGCCTGGTCCACCCATTCAGCCTGGTTGCTTTGATTATGTTACTCCCATTGTCTGTCGTGATGCACACCTGACGACTTTCTGATAAATTCCATGATGTGAGCGCATCTTGCAGTCCTTGGGCCATTAGCTCTGCTGTGTGGTCTTCAGGGAAAAAACTTGTTTGAAGGCAGAAGCTTTTTAACTCCCACTGGTCGATGTAGTGTAGAGTTAGGCTAAGATACGGCTCACAAGTGCGGCTGGTCCACAGGTCTGTGGTTGTTGAGAAGAAGTTCACGTTTGTTAGCTGCTGGCCTACGTTTTCTCTTACTGAAATGTACAACTCTGGCAGCGCTTTTTCTGCAAAGAACTTGCGACCTGGCAAGTCGTATTTTGCATCAAGAGTCTTAATGAGATTTTTGAATCCAGGCTTTTCCACAACACTGACAGGAGCCATGTCTTTGGCAATATATTTTGTTACTGCGTCAGTGATTTCTCTCCACTTTGTACTTTTTCTGTCATACGGGATGGCTTTGGCAAACGAAGAAGCTAGTGTCATCTGCTTCGCAGCTGTATTATTTAACGTTTTCTTTGTTGTGTGGGGAGACGTGGACATACGGAGTTTACAACATTCTTCATTTTGCAGTGGATGACTTCTTAGGTGGTGAAATAAATTTGTGGTACTGCTTCCTTTCGTGGCAATGGTTTCACGACACGTTTTGTAAATTACCGCATTTTGTTCGACATCCTCCTCGTAAAATCCAAACCACTGCCAGATTATTAATCCAGTGCTGTTTCTCTTCAGAACTAGTTCACTGGACTCTTCAGTTATTGTCTCATTCACCCGCTCATCTGAATCTCCCGCTGTCGCCATATTTTTTTCTCTCTCCAAGTCTATATGCGCATGCTCCGCACAGCGTGTCATGTGGAACATTTTCAGGTTGGGAGGGGGCAGGGAGTAGTGAAGCATTCGTTGCGTGTCGGATAAACGAAACTCACAGTGAATTTGATGCGGAAAGCTTATTATTTGAATGGCAATTTATACTCTATGGTTGCGATAGAGCCATTTTAACCATCGTAAATTGAAAAACTCGAGATACATCGAGTATATTCGATACATCGCCCAGCCCTAGGTCCAGAGAGTTTTTAAATAATAAACAAATCAAGTATTGGGCTTATTTCTTGTAGTGCAAAACAGTGCAAAATATATCAAATGTAGTTTTGGCCATATGTTTTAAACAAAATATGTTGTTAACTCTTAACAGTTTCCAGTCTTACTTAAGAAATGAACAGCAACAGAGCAGCATTTTACACTGAAACACTTCACCCTCCAAACCTCTAGTGGACGTTTCCTTCCGCTTTAAGGAGAGTTGACACAAAATGAGTCTGTGGCTTTGACCAGAGGGTCTCGCAGTAAAATCACACAACGCAGCGTTCTTTTCATAGATCAGAGAACAGGTTTCTCTAAAGATGACCAACGCTTACTTTAGCTTTTGATGGACAAAAAAAAAAAACTTTATAGACGGAACACAGCGTTTTGTGCATGCGTCAGAATACGGCAACACTACGGCAAGCCGGCTGTAGCTAGCTTGTAGCTTTGCTACTTAGCTCTCGAAGTAAAGACTTTAACACCACTTGCGCACAGTTTTCAACTCAAAAAAAGTAACGATGAAATCTGACAACTCTGATTTTACACTTTAACACCACTTATGCACAGTTTTCAACAAACAAAAGTAACAATTAAACTGACAACTCAGATTTTACTTCAGACAGAGCATTGCGGTTAGCCGGTAGAAGACAGATCTCTATCGTAGGCTAAATTTCTATCGTTTCTACCGTATACCGTATATATCGCGCATTTCTAGTATATATATATATATATATATATATATATATATATACATACAGAGTTTAATTTGATCATTTTAATAATCTGTATTCTTTTTAATTTACCAGAAACTTCAAAATAAATTCTCACCATGTACTGAAACCTGTTTCAAGGTATTACCGCCACCAGCCGGTGAGGTGCGTGATGTCAATTTGAACCCTGCCCACTGGAACGGGGACTGAAAGCATAATGGAAGCGCAACGTGTACTGTACCAATCTGAACCATGCTATACCGGTACTAAGAGGTACTATGGAAAAGGGGCATTAACTCTCCTGGGCTCTGCATTACATGGCACCAGTTAAGGGCCTGCCCACCCCCACTCAGCCGGGTTTATGGGACCACCTTGTTTGAGGTTCCAAGTGAACTGTTCCGAGGAGACTATTTTGATGTAAGCAAGCAGCAGCCATTTATTGGTCGGCGGAGCTAGGTCACTGGATGACCCGCCCAGCAAAACTGCAAACTACATCTGAACTGCCACCTCTTCATCATGTTAATGAATGTTGCCGCAAGAAATGAACACATTGAGACATCAGAGATGATGGAGCAGCATGGCTACACCCGGACCCGTTACATGGCTAAGTAATTGGTCTGATTATAAGAAGATTAAGGACCACAACAGGCAGAGTGGCTCGAACAAAAGACCAGTTACGATCCCACCCAGAGCAGGGAAACAGGTCAGCCTCCACTGTAGTGGCGAATCACCTCTACCTGAGAAGAACCCAGAAGAGCTGAATGGTGCCGCACTGACCAGTGGTAGAGCAGCTATAGATGGCAGCCCTCTGCTCCACATGCATGCTCACATGTGCAATGGGAAAAGTGCAGAGAATTAATTTCCCATTAAGGATTAATAGAGTACATTTGTTATTTATTTTTACATGAACACAATCCAGCACTTTAAGATGTGATGGAACGTGGATGTTCAGCTGACAAATCAGCAGTAACTGTGTGATGCCAACATGGACCCAGATGTCTGAGGACATCAAGGTTCATGCTCAATAATCCTGGCAGAAAAATCCAACAAAGTTGAGTCAGGTCCTCTGGACAGTATTTTTTTGTTGAAACGTTTTGTCTTTCATCCAAAACACTTCTTCAGTTCGAGAAGACGCAACAAACTGTCTTATATATAAGCACCTTCTCTAGTGGGTGAACCAGTTTGATGGTGCTCAGATGGTTTCTGGAGTCTGTCCTCTCCCCCACCAACTTGTTTGAGACAGCCATGGCCAAAATGGACCAAAAACGTGGCCAAACCTCCTTGGAATGATCAGAATCGGAATCAGAATAAACTTTATTGGAATTGCACCAAGGTACAATGTGAATTTGTACGTGCAGTCGTCCGAAAGATGGGCGGAGTGCACGAAGCTGCAACTACAGGAGAGCACGGCCATTTTATCCTTATCAGATAATAATCTTAGATAGGAAAAGGGGGAGAAACATGAGGGTAGATAGTGGTATTATAAAAAAAGATCTTTCACATCTTGTCTATCAGGACACGATTTGAGACATCAAAAAAACTCTACCAGCAGCACAATTAAAACATGATTACATTTTCATTTGACATCAAGGTGTTGAGATTTGTCCATGAGCTTTTTTTTCAGATCAGCCACAGTTTCTGAAGATTTTGTTCCAGCCAGCAGTTCTGATAAGCCTGCACAGAAAGTGCACAAAAGATAGATGAAGCTTTTGTCCTTGGGTACTCATGTCCCAGGAGAAATTTGATAGTCAGCCTGTCTCCGAGGCCATTGGGAGTCAGATTAGATAAGCTTAATATTTGTTTTTCTTCAGGCAGACAGATTTTTTCTTCAGCCTCGAGTCCATCTGGGCATTCTGGTTCCGAAAAAGCCTAATTGTGAAATTTAGTTTCACTGATCCATGCTATGAGTCTCCTTCAAGGTCGAACCCACCACGCTGACGAGTCCCAGAAGCCGCAGGTGGTCTGCGATTCTCAATCGCCTCTACCTTACGGTTAAGCTCGTAGACCAGACGATTTAAAGTTCCCACAGCGAGTACCAGACCTTCACACTGACTCGGAAGCTTTTCCATGGCCAAAACTGCTCCCGATGTCTTCTTCAAAAGTCGATAAAACAGAGCCCTGCCGATGCCAAAAAGCAGAGTCCCTGCTATCATCAGTCCAAATATGTAAACGTCTTCAACATCTTCTTGAGACAGAACTAAGAGGCACGTCATCTGCCACACTCCCCACGAATCCATGACGTACCCCACAGCGTGAGTCTCAGCTGGACATGCCGGTTCCCCAGGACCTTGTCGCTTTGATGAAAAAATCTTATCAATAGAGTTGAACGCCCACGATACCAAATCCATAATCTTCTTAATTTATGTTCGGGAGATGAGACCCAGGCACTTCAGACAGACAGAGAGCAGAGCAGGAAGAAGGAAAAAAAAACGGGGGAGGAGAAATTGAAGCTGCCACCTTGATCAGAGCCTGGGAGGAAAGTGAAACTGATGAAGTGTTTTGGATGAAAGACAAAACGTTTCACCAGAAAGAAACCATCCAGAGGACCTGACTGAACTTTGTTGGATCTCAGAAGACAGTTTCCAACACTTTGTTGAGTGTTGGAAAGAGTTAAAATGGTTCTGAGGGCAAAAGGGGTCCAATCCAGTACTGGGAAGATGGACGTAATAAGTGGTCGCTGAGCGTATATAACCTGTAGTCCAACTGACCTTCTCCATGAGCTCATCCTGTTCTGAGGTGGCACACAGGCACACCAGGTACATCTGCTTGAAAGCGTCCTTCCCCTGCAGGCCAGAAGACTTCCAGCAGGTCTTCGACAGAGAAGCCGCCTTGTCCATTTGTTTGTCCTTCATCAGCTGCTTGACTCTCATCTGCAGCAGGACCGGCCCCTCCTGCAGCAGGAACTCCTCCACTGAAAAAAGATACAAACACTTCACACCATCTGGTCTTCAAAGCACATTTAGATTGCACGAGTGGTTTTCTCCCTCATTTTCAGAAGCTTGTTTTACCAAAGAAAAGACGTCAAAGATCATTCTGTGGTGAGAGCACTCACTACATCATGTGCTGTATGTACAATATGATCAATGTCTCACTCTGATTCGAATTCAAACCCAAAACATTTAAAGTTTTTAGCATGAATTTACTTAAAACTAATTATTAACTATAAACTTATTTATCACCTCATTTATGTAACTTATGTGATGAACTTATTACTGTCTTTGAACAAAAGGCAGCACAGTGGGACTAATTAAATCTGAATAGCTTAGCTTCATGGTTGCTAACAGCTGAGCTAAAAAAAAAAACAACACTTGCTTTTACTTATAGATTCTTGGGGGTGGACAAAGCTCAAACATTTTCAGTCATATCGGCAATAGCCAAAATGTCCACATCGGTCAGGCTCGAGTCAAAACATCACTAAACACCTGGTTTCATTCTAAAAATGCCCCACTGGGATGTTACCTTGTTCTGATGGAAGGTTTTGGTTGAGCAGAAGGCCCTGCAGGACCTCATTGGTCCAAACCCCGTCGTAATGACCCAGAGTGCACAGGAAAGAAAGCTGGAGAAGTCCATTCTCCTTAAGTTTCTCCTGTGCCAACTACACACAACAGAAAAAATGATGGGAACACTCAAGCAGCTTGAAAAACAAGATTATACGAGAACACATTTATTCAGTTAATCAGGACAATTCGAGCTTCACAGTACAAAAACTAGAGAGAAACAGACATGAGTTTTTCCATTTACAAAATATATCAATTACTTAAATTAAATGAACATAAATTTAACAACTTTTAAAAATTATGTATAAGAATATTCTCACTCAAAAAAACTTGGCCTGGTTGTAGCTAATGCTGCAAACTAAATTAATTACCAGTGAAGTCCACCTATGCCCAACATTATATGAATTACTTTGACAAAATAAAAAAATAGGAAACAAAATCTAAGTTAAGTCAGGTCCTCTGGACGGATTAGATAAATAAAAAAAACTTAAAAATAAAAACTTGATGAAACATTTCATCTTTTATCCAAAAGACTTCTTCAGTCTGAGGAGCAGCAACAAACTCAGTCTTATAAATAGCACCTTCTCATAGTGGATCAACCAGTTTGTTGTTGACATCCAAAACTACCTGTTCACATGATAAAGGAGGACCATCAGCCTAAAGACCGATAGTTAGTGCCCTGATGGCCACTTGCTATTCACAGGGGAGAGAGTGATACTAGCAATAACAGCATTGTAAGAGGTGGCATTGTCAATACTTAATTTGAGCCAGATCCTGCTGGAACAGGATCCAGTAACCCTCTTGAGAAACTAATCCACGCCTTTGTCACGACCCGATTGGACTATGGCAATGCACTTTATGCTAGGGTCAGCCAGGCCTCCATCTCACGTCTTCAGCTCGTCCAGAATGCTGATGCTCGGATTTTAACCGGAACTCATAGGTCTGAACATATTACTCCAGTTCTGCCCTCCCTTCACTGGCTCCCTGTTCGTACGAGGATAGTCTTTAAAATTCTTCTGTTGACCTTCAAATGCTTAAATGGCCTCACACCCCTTTACCTCTCTGAGCTTCTGGAAGCTTATGTTCCCTCTCAGGCCCTGAGATCATCCAATCAGCTCCTTTTGGCTGTTCCTAAAACAAGACTGAAGCTCAGAGATCGGGCTTTTTCAGTCATGGGCCACGAAATCTGGAACAACCTGCCCCCCAACATCAGGCAAGCCACCTCCCTTCCTCACTTCAAATCCCTGCTTAAAACACATCTGTTCTCGCAGGCATTTCACACAGTGTAAATTGATCTAGTGTTTTTTTAATCTGTGACCCTATGTTTTAAATGCTTTTTATTAATTATTCAGTTATTATTAGTGTATTTTGTGTGTGTGTGTGTGTATATATATATATATATATATATATATATATATATATACAGGTCCTTCTCAAAAAATTAGCATATTGTGATGAAGGTCAATATTTTCCATAATGTAATGATAAAAATGAAACTTTCATATATTTCAGATTCATTGCACACCAACTGAAATATTTCAGGTCTTTAATTGTTTTAATACTGATGATTATGGCATACAGCTAATGAAAACCCAAAATGCCTGTCCCAAAAAATTAGCATATCATGAAAAGGTTCTCTAAACAAGCTGTTAACCTAACCATCTGAATCACCAACGTAACTCTAAACACCTCCAAAAGATTCCTGAGGCTTTTAAAAACTCCCAGCCTTGTTCATTACTCAAAACCGCAATCATGGGTAAGGCTGCCGACCTGACTGGTGTCCAGAAGGCCATCACTGACACCCTCACGCAAGAGGGTAAGACACAGAAAGAAATTGCTGAATGAATAGGCTGTTCCCAGAGTGCTGTATCAAGGCACCTCAGTGGGAAGTCTGTGGGAAGGGAAAAGTGTGGCAGAAAACGCTGCACAATGAGAAGAGGTGACCGGACCCTGAGGAGGATTGAGGAGAAGGGCCGATTCCAGACCTTGGGGGACCTGCGGAAGCAGTGGACTGAGTCTGGAATAGAAACATCCAGAGCCACCGTGCACAAGCGTGTGCAGGAAATGGGCTACAGGTGCCGCATTCCCCAGGTCAAGCCACTTTTGAACCAGAAACAGCGGCAGAAGCGCCTGATCTGGGCTACAGAGAAGCAGCACTGGACTGTTGCTCAGTGGTCCAAAGTACTTTTTTCGGATGAAAGCAAATTTTGCATGTCATTCGGAAATCAAGGTGCCAGAGTCTGGAGGAAGACTGGGGAGAAAAAATGCCAAAATGACAGAAGTCCAGTGTGAAGAACCCACAGTCAGTGATGGTCTGGGGTGCCATGTCAGCTGCTGGTGTTGGTCCACTGTATTTTATCAAAGGCAGGGTCAATGCAGCTAGCTATCAGGAGATTTTGGAGCACTTCATGCTTCCATCTGCTGAAAAGCTTTATGGAGATGAAGATTTCATTTTTCAGCATGACCTGGCACCTGCTCACAGTGCCAAAACCACTGGTAAATGGTTCACTGACCATGGTATTACTGTGCTCAATTGGCCTGCCAACTCTCCTGACCTGAACCCCATAGAGAACCTGTGGGATATTGTGAAGAGAAAGTTGAGAGATGCAAGACACAACACTCTGGATGAGCTTAAGGCCGCTATCAAAGCATCCTGGGCCTCTATAACACCCCAGCAGTGCCACAGGCTGATTGCCTCCATGCCACACCGCATTGAAGCAGTCATTCATGCAAAAGGATTCCCGACCAAGTATTGAGTGCATAACTGAACATGATTATTTGAAGGTTGGCGCTTTTTGTATTAAAAACACTTGTCTTTCATTGGTGGGATGAAATATGCTAATTTTTTGGGACATGCATTTTGGGTTTTCATGAGCTGTATGCCATAATCATAAGTATTAAAACAATTAAAGACCTGAAATATTTCAGTTGGTGTGCAATGAATATTTCAGTTGGTGTGCAATGAATCTGAAATATATGAAAGTTTCATCATTACATTATGGAAAATAATGACCTTTATCAGAATATGCTAATTTTTTGAGAAGGACCTGTATATATATATATATATATATATATATATATATTATATTATATATATATATTTCTCTTTAATTTTATTCTCATTGATTGTTGTTTTTAAGCACTGTGATAACAGGTTCTGTTTTAAATGTGCTCTATAAAGTTGACTTGACTCTTAAGGCTCCCACAGATTCGGGCGGTCCTCAGTTCGCGCAGAAACTGTGCTCACTGTCCACAGATGGTTGAGACTTCATACTCCAACATACAACCTGACCAGCTGCAGCCTGCTCAGCAGGCAAAGGACGTTTAACTTTGGGACAAATTGAGTTTGCCTATAGAGCTTTAGAGCGTGACGTCACTTGTCCACGACGCGGCGGCTGATGGGATATGATAGGGCCGGATCCACCATTTTTATACTCCTCCATATTAACTGTCGAAAACAAGCTTTCTTGTTGACTTTTTTTTTATTTAAATTTTTTATCTGAGTAGGTTAAAACAGTTTAGCGATGGTCCGAAATTGCTGCGTTATTAGATGTAATGTCCGGTCACACGACCGGAATTGTAAAAGGATCGAAAACCGACTTTTTAAATAGATTTTCTACAGGGAAACAACGCAAGGAGCTCATGTGTAGGAAGTAACAAAAAGGAAACGTGAGACGTCCTGATATAACTTTCTCCAGCGTCCCAAGAGACCTGCTAGTTTGTTCCAGACATTCTGGTGAGTGTCTAAATTCAGTTTGTTGGTGTTGTGCCATAAATTTGTGCCATGATTTTGTTCGGGTGTACTCATGTTTAGTTCATGTGGGCCAACTTGGTTTAGGTCAGATTTATATTTTGCATGTAACTTAGTCTGAGTTTAGACAGAGTGGACATCTGTGTTATTGTGAAATAAACTGTTTAAAGTTTCTAGTGTTGCCACGTTTACTGTAGTAATACTGATCTGTGTTCTGATATGTCCTCTTCAAGACAAACCTTCATATAAAATGGATGAAACTCCAGGAGAGGAGCTCAGTGAGGCTGTAGATGATGGAGAGGAGGAACATGAACCAGCAGCAAAAAGGTACAAATACAATGTGTGACTAAAAGAGCAGAAATAAACCACCTGTTACAGGAGAACAGGGAGCTCAGGTCAGAGCTGAATAAAAAAACAGCTGGGCAAATAATTTTTATAGTATTAAATATTATACAGGACTTCATAGCTTTGCCATCTTGTTGTCATTGTTTAACACTGTTAGGCATTTTCTGCCAGCATAAAAAACCCCTCACAATTTCAAATGGTTCTACTAACATTAATGCATCTGTTCAGCATCTTTGTCATCTTTTTAAGGTGTCACAAAAATCTAATACCCGTGTCTTTCTTTTCTTTCCAAGGGATGGACGTCCATCAGACAAGCTCATAACAGAAAGCTGTGGCCTACTCTCCAGATTATTACCCGGGGATGTTGTTTTAGCTGACAGAGGCTTTGATATTAAAGACAGTGTGGGAGTCAAGGTCAAGGGTCTTTATTGGCATTCACATCGCATGTTGTACAAACCGGATTCCAAAGAAGTTGGGACACTAAACAAATTGTGAATAAAAACTGAATGCAATGATGTGGAGGTGCCAACATCTAATATTTTATTCAGAATAGACCACAAACCACAGATCAAAAGTTTAAACTGAGATAATGTATCATTTTAAGGGGAAAATCTGTTGTTTCCAAATTTCATGGCGTCAACAAATCCCCAAAAAGTTGGGACAAGTCCATTTTTACCACTGTGTGGCATCTCCCCTTCTTACAACAATCAACAGACGTCTGGGACAGAGGAGACCAGTTTCTCAAGTTTAGAAATAAGAATGCTCTCCCATTCATGTCTGTGTGCATCACACTGTGTTGGTCATGTTGCGGTTGTTGTTGTTATCCATTATTGTTTTTGTCGGTTTCTACTTTTTGGTGTCCTGTTATGTAATCTGTTGCTATGTGCTTGTTCTGTTTGTCCCTGTACAGCACTTTGGTGTGCTTTGTCACTGTTTAAAGTGCTTTATAAATAAATTGGTATGGTAAATTGGTATGGTAATACAGGCCTCTAACTGTTCAAT